CACATGACGAAGTACGGGCAAAATTTGCGCTAAAATTAAAAGTGCAAAGCAAGTAGTATACAGTGAATTATATTCCTAAAGATGCATGTTTCATATAATTGTTTAATCAAGATGTCAGACAAAAGATCACTACATTATAGAATCCGTTGTTTAAAATGTTTCAAGAAGCGTCCACATGTCTGTATATCTCCGTAGTAACGATTCTGACTTTAGTAGTGAGATTCATTCTCCCTAAACAACTGCAGATCGTTATTATTTTGTTTCCTTTTGTTCCTAGAGGAACATAGGGCTTGAGCCATACGTCTCCATTGCATTCACTTCCCTGGCAACGTTTTTACTTGCCTCCATATCTAACCACATGCTTTCATGTAATCTTCACATGACCTCATCCACTCCATTTCATACCCTCGTACTGACGATCGACTCGCCGCTTCCCGTCCAGTTTCTGCTTGACTGATGGCCTGGAGTATGACGTCACTTGATGTTTTGATTTCTCAGAGCATGGCCAATCCTACCCACCTCCACTTCTTCATGCATATTTGTTGCACAATCGGTTCCTGGTTGGTTCATTCATTCATTGGCAGAGATACCTGTTGCTCATCTATTCTGGCTGGCCATCTTATCTTGAGCGAAGTACTTAGAGAAGACAGCTGTTGATGAAGGTCTGTATTTTGTTTCAGATGCTCTTGATAACTTGTCAGAAGGTCGTTAGTGACTAGTTTTTAGATTCTGTGTAAACCATAACACTCTGTATGAAACTATTTTTTTTTCCTGTTTCATCAGCTAATCGGCAAGAAAAATAACTATTATATGCTTAGTTCAACCATCAAGGTCAGCTTCTGAAATAATACAAGTCATATCTGCATCAGAAGTCATCTAATGATATTTTATAGGAGTTCGAATCTAAGAGCTCGACGTATAACCACCCGCTGACAGGTTCAAACTTTCCTTCACCTAAAATGATCCTAAAATTCAGACAGTATCACTGACCTTTACAAAACGAATCTGGCTCATTATCAACCATTTGAGAATCCAAGTTTTTATTGAGATTCACTTCTTATTTTCTCTGTTTACAAGGATATAACTAACTAACTGCAGATCCTGAATTTACTCATATGACGAAGTTGCCCAATGATAAAATTATTTTAGGAATTCAAGTATACCTCACATGTACTATCTTTAAATTCCAAGGCAAAATATATAGACAAACATAAGGTGCAGCAATGCGATGGATCACCAATATCCCCTATCGTAGCATACATATTTATGGACAGCTGGGAAAATATGGCTCTTAATGCATTTAATCCTACTCCAAAAATATGGTGGAGATACGTGGATGACACTTCCACAGTGTTAAAAAGACAGAACATATCTCTAGCTACTTAACACATATAAACTCACTAGTGGAGGGAATAAAATTCACATTTGAATCGGAAAATGAACAAGGAGAATTAGCTATGTTAGATTGTAAAATAAAACGAATAGAAGAAGTTAAAACAATTAGTCCCTTTGATAAATTTGAACAAGGCATTAAGAAGACAAATTTCGCGAGATGATATCGTCATTTCGTAGTTTCTTTACAACCGCTTTACAACTAACATAGTTAACAATGATAAAATAAAGTTCATGAAAATTACTCAGTTAAATAAAAACAAAAGTACATACTAATGACCAATCATATTAAGATAGGTCATGCAGTCCAGGGTAGGCGAAGATTGAAGTCTATTGATTTTTGTACACACAGTTTAGGCTGTATGTGATTACTCCAAAGTGCTTCCATCACCTTCAATAACCTTGAATTAGAGTTATGTGAAATAATTTTGACCCCGAGAGGATAGGAGATCTAGAAAAAAGCTCAGCACTACATTTCACTACACGCATCAACACATAACCACACAATAGCATGCTGGGAGAGGGTTAAAACTCTAAAAGCAATATATATAGGTAGATTTGTCCACCATCGATTTGTTTATATGCCTTTTCTTGGAATGTGAATCTAATATTTTCTGTACACATTAAGATTATGTCTTTGATGTAAGTGACGGGAATGGGTAAGTTTATGCCGTTGCTTGTGATGTAATCACAAATAAAATCAACAGTTTCATGAAGGGGAACATTGGTGAATAAAGATTCTGTGTCAATTGAACACACAACCTTTTCCTTAATGTTCAAGGTGTCCAGCATTTCTGTAAGATCAAATGAACTTTTTACAGAATGATTTGATAATGAGTCTCTTACAGGCGTAAGGACCTCTGTAATCCATTTGGCGATTTTATGATAAGGAGAATTTGACATGTCTAAGATGGGTCTCAGTGGGCTCCCAGTCTTGTGGATCTTCGGAAGGCCATAAAGCTGAGGAGTATGTGACCCAATTGCTCTAAGTTCTTTATAAAGTTTTTCATTTATAAAACCATGCATCAGTAAAATTTGAAGCTGACGATTGATCTGCTTTTCCACAAGCAGCACATTATCAGTAGCATTGTCCACCAGAAATTTGGACTGATCCTTGAGGATATCCTTCATTTTATTTTCATAATCCGATTTGTTCATAATGACAACGCCTTCTCCCTTATCAGGTTTAAGGATCACAAGATTATCTTTTTTGATTAATTCCTTAAGTGCGGCGTGGTGTTCTTTTGATAAACCATTTTTCTGGTGTATTCTAGCATTTAGAAATTGATGAGAAATGTCCACCAGTGCACGAATGACACACTGATGGATGAGCTTCGACATGTACATTCAGTTTTATTAGCTAATGGTTATCTGAAGAGCTTTATCACTTGTCACAGCAAAGAAAAACCACATCTCGAAAAGACAGCTTCTGTACCAAAAAAAAGCCATCTTTATTAATCTACCATTCAAGGGCGACCAGATTATGCAGTTGACAACTCAAAGACTTCGATCAGTCATCAAACGCACATTCTACGCCGCATCTCTTTTTCTCACTTGCCGAACATTTTCGATCCCTGTCCCTACGATTAAAGGACGAAATTCTGTGGACTCTACTTCAAACTGTATCTACAAGTTCACCTGCAGCTGCGGTGACACCTATATAGGTAGAACTAACAGAATGTTCCAATGTCGTCGAAAAGAACATATTCCAAAATGGCTAGTAAACCATATCGAAAATCCCAACGCGATTAATCTTAGTAGAAATCCAGCATCATCCATTGCAAAACACTTACTAATGTCTGGTCACAAAATAGATATTAATGACTGTTTCACAATTATTTCACACAACTCTAATTCAAGGTTATTGAAGGTGATGGAAGCACTTTGGATTAATCACATACAGCCTAAACTGTTTGTACAAAAATCAATAGACTTCAATCTTCGCCTACCCTGGACTGCATGACCTATCTTAATATGATTGGTCATTAGTATGTACTTTTGTTTTTATTTAACTGAGTAATTTTCATGAACTTTATTTTATCATTGTTAACTATGTTAGTTGTAAAGCGGTTGTAAAGAAACTACGAAATGACGATATCATCTCGCGAAATTTGTCTTCTTAATGCCTTGTTCGAATAGAAGAAGGTAAACTACACACTAGTGTGTAAAGAAAACCAACTCATTTTAATAGATACTTAGACTTTAATTCATCTCATCCGTTAACTGTTAAGGTAGGGTTAGTTAAGTGTTTAACAAACCGAGCAGTGGCACTAAGTAGTACAAAAAAAAGACCTAAATGACGAACTAAAACAGATAGAAGAGGCTTCGATGTTAAATAACTATCCAATAAAATTCATAAGAAAGAACAAAAAAGGCCAAAAGCAAAATAAAAATAATTTGTGAAACTAGTAATGATAACATAAATAAGAGAGAATATAAGGCATCTACTGTTATACCATATGAGGAGGGGACATCTGAGACCCTACGTAGGATTTTTAATAAACCAGGAATTAGGGTAGTATTGAAACTTGCAAACTCACTCAGGTATGAAAAGCTCTATAAGCTAAAGGACACTGTTGACCGAATTAAACAAAATAATCTAATTTGCGAAATACCTTGCAATGACCGTGAGTTAAGTCAACTACATATGTCAAACAATTAGATCGGGGGTTGTCAGATCGCCTGTCAGAACATAAGAATTTAGCTAAGGTAATAATGGTTGACCCCGAGAGGATAAGAAATTTAGAAACAACTCAGCACTAGTACTGCATGCATTAATACAACCATGCAATAGGGTGGGTGAGGGTTAAAATTCTAAAAGTAATATAGAGGTAGAGAGAGATTGATTACTGAATCCTGCCTGGTTCATTGAGTCTACACCCAACACAACACATGCAACAGAAATGACTCAATGCAAATACCAGGGATATAGAAGATATTATTACCGCCGGTCAAATCAGAAGAGGATAATAAATAATCTTAAAATTATATTTCAATTCACGTACATCATAACATTCTAACAAGTTACTTATTTTGACTATAAAAACACCCTTCTTATTTCCTATCAGATTCTATTAATAGTCCTGAATGAACATTATCCTATACTGATTTTTATTCAAATGTCCAATCACCAGTTTCACTCATGTATATTAATGAAGCATAGAAGTTGTGTGAGTGAGCAGCTTGATATGATTATGAGTGGAGATAGTTTGTGCTGGAAACGTGATCATCAGTAAATATTACTCTACAATACTGTGTGATTTATCAAAATAAAATTTTATCCATAATGCATTTATACTCTACCGCAGCGCCCAAGTTTTCTACTTATATCAAGGATCTCTTTTTATCACAAGCGGTGAAATGACATCGTATAAAATGCAGCACTCATGAATGTGATGCGATTCGATTCCTTACCGATGGGTATTCCTGTGAAACCTCATTTAGCCAATAATAAGCCTGGAAATCATTAGAAGTTGGGTTTGAGGTTAGCAATCCTTATATTAATACCACTGAAACTTCATAGCCCAAAAATTTTGAAGTTCCATACTCCACTTAAAATACAAAGTAATGCAAAACAAAACCAGATCCAAGAATATTTGCAAACTTACAATTTCGGGAGTTTGTTTCATCTTTGTAGTCATTAAGTTCTTCGAGACTGATAGCTGTTCGTTTCAACGAGGAAAATGATTGAGTCATTTCACTTGTTTCGCATAGTTTATTTTGACAATGAAGATTATTAGCCAGGGATTTTGAAAATATCTGTTCTGACATAGGATTCTGTAGATCTCTTTTCTCTGTACTATTCTGTAAACGATTTTTCATAGTAGTAGTAGTAATTTGATTATTTGTTGTTATATCTTGAAATGTTCGATTATTCCCTGCTCCACCTTCTCCGTCTTCTCCATCAATATCATCGCCATCGTCAGCATCATCACGGAGACTGTAGTTCTGTAGAATAAAACCACCGGGTAGACCAGAAAATGTAGAATTCCCACCAGAAATGGATGAATCAAATAGTCGACCCGCTTCATTGTTACCACTGTTCCCATTACTACTATTTACTCCACCAGTGAATGTTGGTAATAATCTGAATGTATGCGTTGGAGATGTATGACACATTGATGTAGGCGTTTGCATAAATTTCCGCTGATTCTCTGTATTAGAAACAGGGGATTTACACAAGGTTGTTGTAGGTGACCAACAGGCATTTGGATTGATGATACATCCTCTTGACCGACTAACACCTGTATTGTATATAGTTGGATAGTTATAAGGTGTTGGACAAGCGATTGGCGATGTCGATCCACGAACCCATGGAGCAGTAACAACCTGTTTAAAATAAAATAGAAGGTAAGTCAGCTCATTGTAAAATCATGCAACCAATCAACCAAATCCCTACAAACCAATACTTGAATATCAATGAGATGTTCACTAGCGACTAACCCTATTTAGGTAGGTAGTTACCTGGGCTCCAGTGGGAAGTCCTGACCAGTAGGGTGCAGCAGGTCGGGTGTGAGGACAAATACTCGCCGAAGGCATTGGCTAGCGGTTGCGCTCTATCGTGAATTGACAGCAGTTAGAATTCATGGGCGATTGGATCGGGTTCCAGTGGCTTAATGTTCTACGAACTTGTAGAGGCCAGAAGGTCCTGGGTTCGAACCCTGGTGGTGGGTGGGTACAGCCGAAGATTCACAAACTAAGCTGACGAAACAGCTGTCCAATACTCCTTATTGGTTTTCCAATGGTTATCTAACTGATATCGACTCATTATGAAATCATGCAACTAAGAAAATATTTATTGCCTGTGGAAGCAGATCAAAAGCCGAAGACATGTTGATAATACTCAACTCATGTCATCCTAATCTCAATTTACCAATAGAACCCGAGGAAAACGATACCATTAAATTCCTAGACATTTTTCTAGCGAAAACGACTAATGCCACAATCGAAAGATCTATATTTAGAAAGTCTTCATGGATTTGGCAGAACAAGCATTTCAAGAGCTTTGTTCGTATCGAGTATAAAAGAACTTAGTCTGAACACTGTTTAACAGAGCGTGGAAAATATGTTCTGACTGTACTATTGAGCATGAATATTCTGAGAATTTCATTACCAAATACTCTAAAAAAATTACTTCCTACAGAACTATCCAAACAGTTCCGAAGAAATCTGTCTATATCATTTTGCCACTCAAAGGAGATGATGTACAGGAAGCAGTCACACGAAGACTCGATAAAACTATCAAGGGAACTTATTATGCTGAAAAACGTGTTTCACCACCACCACCACCACTAAGCGAGTGCTTCAACACTCTAGGAAAGACCAGTACTCGTCAATCCTCGACGCTTCAAACTTCTTATATCAGCTTGGGTATGTTTGTGGAAGCAAATGCATAGGTCGTACAGAAAGGCGATTGTCTACTCGCATGATTAAGTATTTGCCAAAATGGTTGAAAACAGCTGAATGCAAAACATCTTGTGGACTATGGACATGATATAGACGCTGTCAAGATATTCAATATTGTCAGCAGACAAAGAAACCGGAAGATGCTTGCAATTGCAGAGGCCTGTGAAATACAAGTTTATAAACCAGGTCTCTGTGTACGAAAGGAGATGGTCGTCGCTCTGAATCTACCATGGTAATACGTTTTACTTATTATTCTTTACCTATTATTATTCTACCTCTTATTATCATTATTGTTATTATTCTTGATTCATTAAAAACTATCCTTTATCAGTAGGATTATCTTAACTCACTTCAACACTGTTATTATTATTGTTATTATAATATTATTACTGATATTACAATGTTCGCAATTCTTGTTATATTCCCTAATGACTAAATGCTTATCTAAGTGATGTAATTGAACCGTAATGCAATTTATCTTAATTTTAATCTCTCATGCTCTCTCTCTCTCCCCTTATCTATTTGAACATGAGCTGGAAAACATTCGCACCTGTCTTTCTGTATGACTAATTCAATATAGTGCGTCGGTGGCACAGTGGTTAGGACTCTCGCCGACCATGCGCATAGTCCGGAGTTCGAGCCCACGCCGACGCACACCTGATATCTATGGTCAGCCTGCGAAATTTGGGCTACCGATATCCACGCTGAAAATTCCATACTTGTACCTAAAATACGGTGTGGAATCAAGCTGTAATCAAAAATAAAAAAATAAAATAAAAAAAATAGTTTATTTACTTATCAGATTTATATATCCCAATGTAATTTCAAAAGTATACGTATCTCCCCGTATTTAGAGCATTCAGCTAATGAGTTCGACGGAAATTTGATGAATTCATTAAATCGTGTTTTATTAGCCTTTGTTGCTTGTTTTAAATTCCTATCGGGAAGTAAATGTTTTCGAGAACATACTCCAGAAAAACAAACGGCATCACCTACCAGATCGTGAAAACTAAATGCCAATTATGAGGCAAACGCCCATGAAGTCGTTGAATTGTCTATTTACAGTTATAATCGTGGCGTAAAAACTAACATTCAGTGGTCTAGTTTGTAAGCGGTTTATTTAGGTATATCGGCCGTACTTAGCATTTGCCATTCAAACGTATCATCGAAACCCTACTCTCTGTAGCTCAATCCTGTAAAATCTGGTCAAATCTGGACACTATGCCTACCCATAAACTAACTTCAAATTCATCGCCAGAATACGTAAGGATCTTTCCATGAAAGTAAGAATCAAACTGTTTCAAACCTCGGAAATCGAATCGAATGTTAAATTTTGAACTCTGCATACAAAAGAAGTTTGCTCAGTCATCAAACTTACAATGGACCTGATTTATCTTAACACAAAATACGTAGTTTTTGTTTCTTAATTGCATTAGTCTCTTCCTTCATCCTTACTATTAAATTCCTACCTCTTATTGCCGGCTGTTTCGTCGGCCTAGTTTGGGACTCTTCATCAGTATGCACCCACCAACTGAGGGATAACCCAGGACCTTCTGGTTACAAGGCTAGCAACCTCATAGACCATTAAGCCACTGGGACCCAATCCAGTGTCCACTGCACGTATTCTAACTCTTGCCAATTCACGACATAGCTCGACCATTTCGATCAAATAATAGTAATATTGTGTTAAATGTTTTAAACTTCAGTAACGGCGATGGTTATAATGATTTATGTACATGGCGATAAGAATAAGAATATGTGTATACGTAGACAAGTGAATAAATAAATTAGTTCAAATCTCAAAAGTTACGTAATACTAAAGGTAGGTGAAGTGAACAGATAAAACACACAGAAAATGGTAAATAAAAATGTCGAGAAGTTTTTAATCAGAGTTTACCTTGGTCAAGGTAGAGATAAAGGTAGAACGAACTTCTTTTGTATACACAAACTAGGATTGTTCACTTGAATTCCTCTTGCTTCAACTATGTGTTGAAGGCGGGTTCGAATTCCAATCTAAAGATTCGATGGTATGCGATACATAGCTCCTGTCCATTTGGTGACCGCTATCATCAATCAAATGTGACAAAATAGAACTTATTATAGGTTTCAATTGACTTTTCGGGAATCACCATGAAGGAAGGTGCGCAGTAATACATTTATTGAGTTGTATAGTTGTTCTCCCTTTCTACTCAGAAGCAGATAAATTTGTAAATGCACAGCTTAGCAGCTTATCTTTCTCGTGAGCAGTTATAATTGGTCAATTGGGAAATAACAAACAAAGGATAGGTTGGCAGTAGTATAGGTTCATTTTATGGCTCTAGAAAATCTTAGTTGCAGGGTTTCACTAGCCACGTCTCCATTGAACTGCAGTTCCAGGAGCAATTTAACACGTTGTTGTTATTTGGTTTGAAAACTCACCATCGTTGGTTGAATTTTTTATATATAAATCTATAGGAAATCCATCCTCACATTTGACTGGTTGGAACTCACTGGTTACGGCTTCTCACTAGAACTCCAGGAAACTCCGTCCCGCCGTAAGTCACTAGCGACCATCAAATTAGTTTTCTATGGTTGATTGGTAAGAATTGAATTAGTTTTTACTAGTTTGACCACGGATTGATATCAGTTGCAGAACCACTGAAAACAAGCAGGAAGTACTGGGCAGCTGTTTCATCCTAGTTTTGAAATCATCGGCAGTACACGCACACACATGATCAGAGTTCGAACCCAGGATTTTTCGGTTACAAGGTAAGCTCGTAGACCATTTAATCACTCACTGGGACCCGATTTAATGGTCAGCGTATGAATTCTAACTTCTATCAATTCGTGATTTAGCCCAACTGGCACCAACCAATGTCATCATCCTCACACTAGACCTGGACCTGGATGGATCTAAATGGCCACAACTTCTCACTAGAACTCCAGGATACTCCGTCCCGTAGCAAGTCACTAACTAGCAAATTAGAGTAAAACCTGAAGAAGATCTAATTGAGAACAACAATATTGTTCACTTATATTATCTTATTTTAATATTAAACAATGAGAATATTTAAAAATTTATAATCACACACAATACAATAATATAAAACTCACTTCACCGAAAAATCCACTAAAACCATTCAGATTATTTTGACTTGGACTCAATGGTTTACCTGTTAGAGAAAGAGAACAAAAAAGGGGAGAGTATCTGAAGTAGGCGAGTGCAGTTTATTAACCATCTACAGAGACTTTAAAAAAAACACCATCGAAATTGTTGAAAATGTTGAAAACAAATTTAAGAATAGAATAATAATATACAATACGTCATAAACACGCATGGAAAAGGCACTCGAAGTATCCCACTTATAGACAATTTAGAATAGACATATAACTGCTGTTTTTTTTCGTAGAATAGCAGGACTTTAAAAATCGATATTCTCAGATATATGTTCAGATGAGGTGAAGAGGAAGGAGTGGGTTAATGAAAAAAAAGACTCATGAATTCAGTGAATTGTATGAACATGAGTATGGTGACCTGGTGCTTATTATTTCCATACACGAGATCAAATGAGTAGAAAGTATTAGTGTAACAACAGAAGACAAGGGCCAGGCAACAGATCGTTTTATTATAAAAATCAACACGTATTTATATATATTTCACATACATTATTATAGCTTATGCAAGTAGAAAAGCGCAGTCATCTGATTGGTTGCAGACAAACGCAGGCTTCTGATTGGTTGTTTCGGGATTCCTTTACAAATAGAGTTCTCTATCTGCGAATCATATTTTGCCACGTTAACTTTGCTGTGATTGGTTGTTGAATCAACCTTGTTCATATTTTCTCACGGCCCATATTAGTGACCTAGACATTAACGTAGATTAGTGTCAACAAATCGGCTAGCAGCCTGCTCTCACCTCATTAGCAACAAGAAACTATGGCTGACTGACCGGGGTGGCAAAAAACCAACCAATAGCCAATCGCTTAACAAATATGTGCGGGAAAATGGTGATGGATCAGGCATACATTGAGGTAGATGCTGAATGACACTGCTGTGCGCAGTGGAGGTCATCGTTCGACTGGAACGTGAACGGAAAACGACGAGTGGGTCGCCAATGCCTAGGTGACATTGGGAAGATCGTGGGACGAGGAGGAGAGAAGAGATTCTGAGCTATAATGGTCCAAACTGAACAGGACGGCGGAGAATAGAAGGATGTGGACGTGTATTCTTGAAGCCTTAGGGAATAATGATTGTAATATCATTGATCGGTTGAATTTATTCTTTTAGTGATTGGAGTTAATCAGCGGGTATTCATTCGCAAGCCTGGGAGAACTAACAGCACCCACTTGCGAAAAAAATGGTAAAAAGCGCCTGAATGATGAACCTACGGTAAGAAAATGAGAGAATTTTGGTTATATGACAAGATTTTCAACATTTCCACCAAGATTTGCCTAATCACAATAGTTTTTTCCCATTACTTAATCAAGATTTGCTCAGTTTTGTCACACTGGTCTCTTCTGAGATTCAAACCCACACCAGCTTACCTTATGTTGTGGTTAGAGACGTTACCGCTGAGTTATTTGGTCTCACGATTAACCTCTTCCCGTGGGACTGACTGTTAAACATACACTGACCAAAGACTAAAGAAGTGTATCTGAAATTTTGACTGAACTCATGTCCCTTCTGACAATAGAATCCCAGAATCACCCATTGTTACCACCACTGTGTTATTTTGGCGTACAATTAACCTCATTTAGGACTATTATTATTTCTTTTAATTCATAGCGGAACTTAGGGCTTCAGCAACACTTCTTCATTGTATTTGGTTCTCTGCCAACGTTTTCACCGGGCTCCAGACCTGCCCATATGCATACATCTCCTCTTCACATGACCCTTGGACGACCAACTTGCCGCTTTCCCCTCGAGTTCCACTCCGGAGCTTGTCTAGAGATGTCACTTGATGGTTTTCTCAGAGTATGGCCAATCCAATCCACTTCCCTCTCCTCCTGCTTATTTGTTTCACAACCAGTTCCTGGTTGATTCGCTCAGCGCTAGAGATCCCTGTTTCTGATCTTTTCCAGCCGTCTGATCTTGAGTACTGAGCTAAGGTAGCTGTTGATGAAGGTCTGTAGTTTGTTTGAGGTATTCTTCATGACGCGCCAAATCTCTGATTCATATAGTGAGTAGCACTGAATTCATATCGAAGCTGAAAGTCCGGATCTTATTTCATTTTTATGCTGAGTGCTGTCGATTTCCATACAGACTTGAGAGTAATGAAAGCTTGTCTTTCTTCCCCGATCCTTGCCGGTTTGATATCCTCGTCCTGTAGGAATTTAACGGATACTTCGATTCCACCAAACAAAGGGCTAGAAAGATGATACTAGTTTTTAACCGGTATCGATTTTGTTTCGGATGAAACACACACACACTGTTAGCTCAACTTTGTGATCAATTTTTAAGTTGTTTTTTGCTTTGTTTTGTAAATTATTTATTATTTGATGTTTCTAATCATTAAACATTGAATCAAAATACAGATTAAAACAAACTCTATTTATCTTCATTAATATTATTAAACATTATTTAAAAAAAAAGAGTTGAAATTGGAGCGTGATTATTTCAAAATTAATCTTTTATTCCTCCCCTCCTTACTTACTTACTTGAGTTTCCTTTTTCTCCTCTTTTTTTGAGTTCATTTCACACTTACAGGTCATATATATATATATATATATATATGCATACACTAGTTTTTAATTTTATGTTTCCCGGAAAGGACTTCCATTAAGTTCTTCGAAAATCTCCTCCTCCTCTTCTTCTCCGTACCCTCTCTCTTATTCAGTCATCACTACCATCAGAACTACAAGTGTCATCATCATCATCATCAAATCCTACTCTAGTCTCTCTCTCTTCTTTCCTCACCATCCCACCTTTCCTTTTACCTTCTCTAGAAGTTTAATTCCGTTGACTTTATTTTTACTTCAGGTAACATATTAAAGATTTTCCACGTCAACGACTTTAACTGAGTCTTTCTTACTTAATTTTTTGTTCAAGTTGAAATTATGTCAATTGAAAATGAAAAAATAAAAAGAAGCAAAAAAAGCAGAAGAAAGCTCATTGAGGAATAATTGAAAATTTCCGGGGTTTAATTTAAGGCATAAGATTTTGATTTGAATTCGATGGGTTTGTTCGTTTTCCTTTTCTTTTTTTTCTTTGATAGTTTTTAGAAATAATTCAGTATATATCTATCTATAAATGAATACTTTTATTAACATCTTTCAAGTTTCAATGTGATTTTAGAGGTGTTTTCTTATTTCTATGATTTAATTGGAGGATGATGACTGGCAGGGGAATCCATCTTGATGTGCATTTCGCCCTATTGCGGACTCTTTATCTGTATGTACCCGAATTCCTCACTCAGTGAATGATGATGTTCTCATAGTTTCAAACCCCAAAGCACTTTCCACTAGGCCATTTGAGCCACGAGAGCCACTTCTTATGCAAAGAGTCATAATAATTATTTAATTGAATTTTAGATTCTCCTGTCGATTGATTGGATCGAATTGCTCGGTCACAAGTTCACATGTCGACTTCTTCCGCAGTTGCCTCGACAATGTCTGGGCATGCAATTAGAATTAAATTGGTGGATGGTGACTAGCTATGGAATCCAGGATGCGCATTTAACAATCACCAACTGACGAGCTCCAAATAAGAGGAAATGAGCATCAAGCTGGAGTTCACTGCTAGTCACTATCCACCAGTTGAATTCTAAATACATGCTCAGATATCATCCAAGCATCTGGACAAGAAGCCGATATGTCAACCTGAGACCAAGTGTAACAACAGAGGACAAGGGCTGGCAACAGATCGTTTTATTACGAAAATCAACACGTATTTATATATATTTTATGTGCATTAATAAGGCTTATGCAAACAGAAAAAGGCAGTCTTCTGATTGGTTGTTTCTCGGAAGTTAAGCAGACAAACACAGTCTTATGATTGGTTGTTTCGATATTTCTCGGAAAGTAGAGCCATCTATCTGCGAATCATATTTGTCCACATTTAAGTTTGCTGTGATTGGTTGTTGAAACAGCCTTGTTCATATTTTCTCACGGCCCATATTAGTGACCTAGACATTAACGTAGATTAGTGTCAACCAATCGGCTAGCAGCTTGCTCTCACCACACAAGAACTTCGGTCCGATCAATTCAAGAGAAAATCTTAAATTCAATCAAACTTCCAGTTTCAGTTGACAGCTACACTATTTATATTAGAAGATAAAAATAATAATAACTAATGGTTAGCTATGGACTGGATTATACGTCAGGCAGTGGGTTGGGAGCGAGGAGACAGGAAATCCTGGATGACTGGTAAGAAGACTCTAGAAGATCTGAATTTCATACCTGGATTATATTTGTCTGAGGTTGCCTCTCTCACTTATCTAGGCAGTGAGTATAGTCTCAACTACAGGGAGTCTGGAACGAATGAAGTTGTCGAAGCCAGTCAGCCAGCCAGCCAGAATCGGAAAGGAAATATATGCCCTCATCAAGCTGAAATCAGTGTGGAAATACCAATGTCAAGTTGGTCATTCTATATGAGTCAGATACTTGTAGTGCGTTTCAGTCACAAAAAGGATTTGCAACAGCCTGTCGCAGACTTTCATCAACAGCTGCCTTTGCTGGCACCACACTGATGACCAAACTGGCATGTCAGAAAGAATTAGCAACAAGAATCTCTAGCTGGGAACAAATCAACAGGCGAGAATCGATCCCTCAACAAATGTGCAGGAGAAAGTGGAGATGAAATGGACTTACATCGAGGAAACTGTCGGATGACATTGTGTGTAACACAGGTCATTCATCCAGTGGAATCCATTTGGGAAGCGACCAGTGGGTCGTTAGTGCGAGGTTAACATGGAGGAGATCGTGTGAGAAAGAGACGCTATATTATAGGAAATCGTAGACCCAGCTGAAGAGAGGATAGCAGAAGATAGGACAAAGTGGAAATGTGTTGTTGAAGCCCTATGTTCCTCTCGGAATTCAAGGAATAATAATATAATGAGGGTTAGTTTTTGTTAAGTAGGGCACAGATTAGTTCTTTCAATCATATTATCAAAATATTTCAACACTCGAAACTCGACATTTGCTAGCCAGAGCTATTGCCCAGTATCTAATCCAAAGTGGGCATTCCAACATATTTTAATAACTAACAGGTAAAAAAACAGGTAGGAAAAAAATTCAACTTTACTTTTTTGCGCTAAATCTGCTGCTATCAGACAGCCTAAAACATGATTGATTTAAGCTAACCCTAGCCAATGCTATCACTTATAAAGCTAACATCTATTCAACTTTAGGTGGCACTAATGTGAATGTCAAAGACAGTAAACAGGAAAGGCAATGTGGAAGTCTACTGCACTATATGTTAACAAGATGATCCTGCTTTTTAAGCCTAATTTCAAGATGTTCAATGCATCTGAGACTTGATACCTGCATCGTGAGAAGTATTTCCAACATGATTCCATAAACTTTTGTTATCAAATGCTTTCACTCCATACGGAAGATTAGATGGCCGTCAAGGAAAGACAGTCATTAAGCGACTCTAGCACACGAACTATCTACGCAATAAATATGCCAAACAAAGTAGAGATAATGAATTGAATTCTTGATTTTCCCGTCGATTGATTGGATCGAAGTGCTCGGTCTCAGGTTGACATGTCGGCTTCTTGTGCAGATGCTTCGATGATGTCTGGGCATTTAGTTAGTATACAATTGGTGGATGGTGGCTAGCAGTGGAATCCAGGATGCGCATTTCGTCCTAATTGGGACTTGTCAGCTGGATGTACCTGCATTTCTCAGTGAGTGGTGATGTTCCCACCGAGGCTCGAACCCAGTGCCCATAGTTTCAAACGTCAAAGCATTATCCACTAGACCACTTGGGCCACGAGAGCCACCTCTTGTGCAACGGGTCAAAAATTCAATTCAATAATTAATATATGACCCGTTGCACAAGAGGTGGCTCTCGTGGCCCAAGTGGTCTAGTGGATAACGCTTTGACGTTTGAAACTATGGGCACTGGGTTCGAGCCTCGGTGGGAACATCACCACTCACTGAGAAATGCAGGTACATCCAGCTGACGAGTCCCAATTAGGACGAAATGCGCATCCTGGATTCCACTGCTAGCCACCATCCACCAATTGTATACAAAGTAGAGATAAACTGAAAACGAGCAAATCAAACCCTCGAATAAGGAATTATCAATTGAGTGTCCTAGGACGATACGTAGAATATCGTGCAAGAATGACATGAATGTTTGTGGAAAATTGCAGAGCCAGCTGAAGAAAACTGTGGAAAAATGAATAAAGTGTAGATGGTCTGTTGAAGCTATATTTTCCACTCGGAACCTTAGAAGATAATAATAATACGAAGAAGAACAACAGTAACTGCAGTTACTCGATATATAACATGGTTTCGTATCTTTTTGTTTGATTGTTATTATTATTGTTATATTTAAGTGTCTATTTTTAAAAGTTTTGATTTATTTCAAGTAGATCATGAGCTGTTATTAGTACTGATGAAGGGTTGCAAGCTAGGATTAAACACCTTTCCAATACCCCCTGGTTTTCAATCGTCTTTGAATTGATACTGTTTCGTAGTTTAAATCGAAAAAAAGGGATGTCTACGTTCTACTGAATACCCGGTAAAACTTCAGTGAGCCACACGCTACCACAAAACATCCCAAGGTCAGGGAAAAGACGATTATTCACCAGTATTTTAGTGCATGTTTCAGAGAAGTCTTATCGATTATACAGTATAGCGTAGAGGTCAGTTTTGCTGCATTCAGATGATAATCGATTAAATTTGTTCGCTACACTCCTCCACAAGAGAGTCAGGTGGTTATCTATACAGGCTACGTAAGATTGTATATACAAAAAAGCATTTAGAATCAAGGAGAATATTCCCCTGCGAAGTGGGATCAAGAGCTCTATTCACAAGAATCATGCACGGCAGCTTATCGGGTCAGAATGGCTTTCAGACCATACTCAAACCCACTTATTGCGCTAAACAGCACATTGTCAATCAATGTACATCCAACCACAATGAGAAGTATTAAATTTCAAGATTAAACAAGGACAAAGGCAAATAATAACGATCAATAAACCGCGTATGGTCTGCAAATGTCAAATTAATGAGACACAGTCCACCAACCAGTCAAACGAAACCCTTACAAAACGAATACTTGAAAATTAAGCTCATGCTCACTAGCGACTGTCCAGAAATACCAACAACAGCGCAAACACAACTGCAAGTTGACACCAATCCTCCAACGAGAGCTGAAGTCTTGAATGCAATCAAACTTCTGAAAGCTGGAAAAACAGCCGGACCAGATGGAATACCCCCTGAAGCACTGAAAGCAGACCCAGAGACGACAGCAGACATGCTGACTCCATTGTTGCAAAAGGACTGGAAGGAGGGAAAGGTGCCTACTGACTGGAGGAAAGGTTACCTCGTGAAACTACCAAAGAAGGGCGACTTAGGCCTCACTCTGCAGGAACTGGCGAGGAATCATGCTCCTATCGACGCCAAGTAAAATCCTGAGTCGCATCATACTGGAGAGATTAAAGGACGCACTGGAGACAGAACTCCGACCAGAACAAGCTGGATTCAGGAAAGGCAAATAATGTACTGACCAAATTGCAACTCTACGCATCATCATCGAACAAAGCATGGAATGGCAATGAAACCTCTACCTCAACTTTATAGACTTTGAGAAGCCCTTCGACAGCGTTGATCGTGAAGTAATTTGGAAATTACTCGAGTACTATGGCGTACCCCAAATATTCATCAACCTTATTCAACAGCTGTACGACAACGGTACATGTCAAGTGATCCACAAGGGAAAACTCAGCAAGGCGTTTGGAGTAAATACAGGAGTCAGACAAGGGTGCTTAATATCACCAATGATATTCCTAACTGTGGTGGACTGGATCATGCGTCAGGCAGCGGGAAACGAGAATACAGGCAGATATCCTGGACCGACGTGAAGAACCTAGATGACCTGGATTTCGTAAGTGGATGATTTATGTTTGATGTCACACAAAATCGAAGACTTACAAGCGAAAACCGACAAACTGGTCGAAGGAGCAGCCGGTGAAGACAGGACTCCAGGTAAACATAGACAAGACGGAGGTTATGAAAATAACCAACCAACAACAGCAACAACATCCAACGTCAATCACCATCAACGGGAGGGATTTGGAAGAGGTTACTTCATTTCACTTATCTAGGGAGCATTGTCTCAACTACAGGAGGAACGGACGAGGATGTCAAATCGAGCGAGAATCGGGAAGGCGAGAAACACATTCATCAGCCTGAAACCAATCTGGAAATCTTCGTCACTCAGCATCACCAACAAAATTCGGATTTTCAATACAAACGTAAAGTCAGTCAGTTCTTCTATATTGATCAGAAACTTGGCGAGTCACAAAGAATATTTCCAACAGCCTGTTGCAGACCTTTATTAACAACTGTCTTCGCTCTATACTGAAGATCAGATGGCCGGAAAGAATCACCAACAAGGAATTATGGGAACAAACAAAGCAAGAACCAATCGCCCAACAAATATGCAGGAGAAAGTGGAGATGGATCGGACACTCGCTGAGGAGACCGCTGGGTGACATCGCGCGTCAAGCCCTCCAGTGGAACCCGAAAGGTAAGCGGCGTGTGGGACGTCCAAGGGTGACATGGAGGAGATCGTGTGAAGAGGAGTTGAAAGAAGATGGATTAACATGGATGCAGGCGAAAAGTACAGCAGAGGACAGAAGCAAATGGAGACGTGCAGCTGAAGCCCTATGTTCCACTAGGAACCCAAGGGAGCAATAATAATAATAATAATCACTAACGACTGGACTAATTTTGGCAGTGATCTGGGGTTCTAGTGGGAAGCCGTGACCAGTAGGGTACAGCAGGCTGAAGGTGGGGATTTAGCACTCTTACGTGATTTCGTATTCTCTACTTTGTTTCTATGTATATACTGAGTGCAACTCAATCATCAAACTATTCATATTATTACGTAACTCTCCTTAAATAAGTGTTTCTGACAGCTCATCACCTTTGTTACTACTCTAGTTTCATTAAAACCCGTTTTTCTTGACGGTTTTCGTATTAATAATTATGGCAAACCTAATGTGCACACACATATATAATAACGCATGTATATGGGATTGTACAGGTAAGAAAATGAATTTGCCGCCAGAAAGAGACTCTTGGTGGAACTACGTGTTTTATTTTCATTCGGAACTCAAAAGAATGAGGAAAATGTATGAGTGAGCTTGTGATCTATCTTCTTTCTTCAATGCGTAGATCATAAGCTCTCAGAATTCATCAAATATTTCATGAATTCATCTTCTACTATCCGAAATATGACACAGATAATATTATCTTAAATGACAACATGGATCATGAATTCACATAAGAGTTAAGTGTAAAAAATCTTAAAATTGTCGTTTTTTGATTGGATGGAGGATTTCATCATGAGCTGACATCAGTTAGAGAACCACTGGAAAGCCTGGAAGTGCTGGGCAGCTGTTTCGTCGCAGGTCCCAGCTGTTTCGGATCGGGTCCCAGTAGCTCAATGGTCTACGAGGTCGCCTTGTAACCAGAAGGTTCTGGGTTCTCTCCCAGGTGATGGGTACGTACTGATGAAGAGTCCTAAACAAGGGGAACGAAACAGCTGTCCAGTACTCCCGGCTCGTTTTGTACTGGTTCTCTAAGTGATGTCAGCTCATGATAAAATCCTCCATCCAATCAAACAAAAAAATCCCTTCAAAACCAAAACTTGAAAATTATCGATTTTTCTTACCTGCAGCAAAACCTTCATTCGCTTTTGAATCAGGTCCATCACAGGCTAAACTTTGTTCTAATGGAATATTTCTTATTAATAAGCGTCTATAACGAACTAACAACAAAAGAACTATAGTTGTTAGTAGCAGAAGAACAAAGACACTGGATAAGATGACAACCATTGTCCTATCGGATATTCTAGCCTGTCCTGAGGATGTCCATGTACCAGCTTTCACATCTACACCTGAACTATGTCCATTTGACGATAATAAATTATGCTGAGATTCCAACCTTCCAATCTGCCGATATTCTTTTGTAATCATTCTATTTGAATATAACACACCATTTGCAACATCTCCACTGGAAGCTATTTGACGAACTACACGAACTATTAATGTTGTATTTAAACTTTCTGGTCGCCCTAAATCATAGGCCAGTATGCGAAGCATATACGCTCTAGGTCCATCAACATTTAACGGTGGTAGATTTTCTCTGAGGTAACAAATCCCTGCAGTTCTATCCACAGCAAATGGATAAATATCACTAATTTCTTTTGGATCTGATGTTTTATGCGCATACTGTACGCTGGGTTCAGTTATATTTTGATGATTATGATTTCCTTGAACAGTCCTCTGAGACGTTTCACCAGAATTCCATGAACCAAGATCATCTTCTACGTGAAGTAGTTTATATTCTATAGTACCATTTTCACCTAGATCTGGATCTGTAGCACGGATGGTGAATATTGTGTTGCCAGCAATCAACTGATCTGGACTTAACATAAATTCCACATGATTCAATGGACTAAGTATCCTTGGAGCATTGTCATTATGATCTAGTACAGTGATCAAAACAGTTACTGTAGATGTAAACTGAATAACTTCACTGCTTATATGTCTGCTATTTCCAGCCAATTTCGTCGGAATCGCTCTAGGATTGTCTACTGCCAATACAACAAATTCATAATGCGCACGTCTTTCACGATCTAACCTCCCCTTTAAATGAATCAATCCACTTCTAGGATCAATTTGAAAGTGGGTTGTAATTTCAAGCGCTTCATCATAAAGATTTTGATTAGTTGACGGTTTAACACCTTGTTCAACATAATTCCCTTCTACTGGTGTCGACTCTTTGAAACGATTATTCATCCCAACAGCTAATCGATACGAGATACGTGCTGCTTCATCTTGATCCGCGTCGACAGCCCAAACTTGACCCACCTTGACTAAATCTACGCCTTCTTCAACCTCAAAATGATAATTACCTTCTTGAAAAATAGGCGGAGAATCATTTAAATCATCAATAATTACACGAACGTTGGCAGTGCCTGTCAACCGCATAGATGGATCACATTGTTCATTAGAACTACTCCCATTCTGGTGGACACAATCGATTGCTACCACTTGAAAGATGAGTTCACTCATCACTTCACGATCAAATGGTTGGATAGCATAAAGCATCCCGCTGAATTCATCTATTTGTATTGAACCACTTGGATTGGAAATCAACTTATATTCAATATTTCCATGGATACCTTCATCTTTGTCTTTAGCATGGACAGCACCAATTGAATATCGTTCATTTTCTGAAAGATTTATATTATGTTCTGACTTGACTTTAGGATGATTTTCCGGTAGATGGAATGTGTACTCACCGTGATCAAACACAGGAGGATTGTCATTTGCATCTTCAATTTCAAGAAAAACATCTGCCTGTGATGTCAACGAACCTCCAGGCAGTTCATTATGCTGATTATCTATACAAATAATTGAAAATTTTATGAAAGACGGTTGTACATCATTGAATTCCCTGTCCAGTGAAGATACAGACATGAGTTTATACATTTTTGTCAACGGTTTACTTGTTGCATGCCAGTCTAGTTGATGAGATTTAGGATCAAGATTATTAGTACCATATAAAACATTTCTACCCCAATAGGAGGAAAGATCTTCTGGTCGATCTATACCATTGGTTATCTCTTCAAGTGAGAAACGACTATCATTTGTTTTACAGACAACATCTGTGTTAGTAAATGTAGCGTCTTTATCTGTGACAGTAACCTGAGCTATCATTGCTCTATCCAGATTCTCTGTAATTTTACCCCACATTTGTCGTCTATCATTATTATATAAATTTACCTGAGTTAATGGACGTGTAGGTCTTAGATAAGAGATAAAAATCTGTGGTGGATGATCATTCACATCTGTAATAAGAATAATCACAGGTACTTTTGTTATCAAGGGTATTGGAGCATTGTCATAGGCTTCTATGAAAAAGTGCAATTGATCACTACTCGATGATAATTCAGTAATATGTGCTTGTTGAAGTGCAAAATTCGATGATAATTTTGAAGATCCAGAAATTTGATTTTGTCGAGCAATAGCAATAGCCTTAGAAGCGGCTGCTTGAATTTTCTCCTTAGATTGTCTTTTAACAATTAATCGACCATAAGTAGTACTATTCTGATAGTTTTCTTGATTGCTGATTACATCACTGGACTTTTCAAAAGCATATTCAATGGCAAATAGTTCTGCAGCGATTAGTTGACTTTCTGAAAGACTGATTCTCTCCCTCTGACCAGTATTCACATTATTTTCATATTGTCCTTGACCTTGACTCGGTTCATTTTGACCTGGTATACGAAATTTCACTATCCCATGCTCTTTAGTATTATCTCTATCTCTTGCAGAGAATTCAAAGATCACATGACCACCAGGATCATTTTCTGACATTCTTCCAGTATAGAATTCTTGATTAAACTCTGGTGCATGATCGTTAACATCTTCAACAATCAACTTGATCGGGAGTTTACCGATTCTTGACGGTGAGCCACCATCATAAGCTACTAGCACGAGGTGATATTCGCCACGATGCTCCTTATCTAATTCACCAATATTCAAAGAATCACTTCCTCCAATTGTTCCACCAACTCCACCTGCAACTCCTGTTGCCCCACCGCTTCCAACTGGTACTAACCATAATCGATTAGTTTTATGATCTTGAAAAAGACCAACTTGTTGAAATTCTTTGTGCATTCGATGATTTAAATCATTGTCAATCGAGGGACCAACTTCAAGTCGAAAGAGGAAAGCATCTTCGCCTTCTAGACGATAACCTTTCACACTATTTACACCTTGATCAGGATCTGTAGCCGTTGGAAGAAGGATTCTTATCGGTTTATGGTCTATCCGGTGCTTTATTCCTCCATCATCTTTCTTATCCGCTAACCTTGGTGTTTCTAATACACTAATTACAAATTCATTCGTTTTTGTATCCATGTTATTTTGAATATCTTTGAAAGTTGGTGCATGATCGTTGATATCTTCTATAATTATTGTAAGCATATCAAATGAAGGATTTGATGATGATCCATGGATAATTGACAGCTTTATAATACAATCATTATTATCTACATTATTACTAGTTAACTGTAGGTTGTACTTTGCACCTGGATTAAGATTATACTCAGGGAATTCAATACCACCATGAGCTATAGACACAGCAGTTTCAGGTAGTTTCTGTTCACTTGGACATAATGCATCTCTGTCTGGTGGTATTTTAATGTACAAACTCTTTTTTACCTCATCGATAGCAAACCAATTTGCACCTTGCATTACTGAATTACCAATAGCCAGGAGATGATCAGTCTTTTTGCCTTTTTCTATATCATAAGCATCTGTTGGAGAATAACTTCGACTGTATAAAAAATTTATCACATCTGGAATGATAACAGTTCCTGCTGGTGTATTCTCTTTGATACGGATAACACGGGAAGTTTGAGCATTAATGAGTTGAGGGGAAGTCTTTTGATGAATATGAATTGTCAAAAGGAGTGTTAAAATAGATGATGTACTTATGTGTCGATAAAAATCAACCCACACGGATAACTGCATCATTTCGTTATCGATTTTTCTTTTTATTTCCCGTTGTTAAATGAGATCATTGATAAGGTCAGCGATTTCCTGTAGACTGTTTAAAATGTAGAAAAGAAAGAGGAAAGAAAGCGGAAATACTTTGGTTAGCAAAATAACCTCTATAAGGGATTGAAAAATTATTGCAAAAGATAATGGCAAAATTTAGAAAGACTTCCCACCTACATGTACGCACTTACAAAATTTCTCAGCGTATATATTATTTTATTTTATTTTGATTATCGCTTGATTTCACACTGTATTTTGGGTACAAGTACGAAATTTTCAACAATTGGGATCGAATCCCGAACCGTGTGCGTAGTCGGCGGGAGTCCTAACCGTTGTATATAAGGAGGCGTTTCCTGGCACAAAAAGTTATCAAATAGTTGACAGATAGACTTGATGTCGTCAAAGAGAGCGAAGATGAGCCAACCAGTACTGCAGCAAAACATGGAAGACACGAAAGAAAAAGAACAAAGAAATAAAACACGAAGGGTAGGAGTAACACAAAACGGCAGATCTGTGCAACGGCATAAAGGATTCAATGGTGAAGGTGGTTGTACCGGCTTGAAATTACAGTCGTTTTTCATTATATTTATTCCTTTGTGTTCTGAGCAGGACATAAGGCTTCATGCTTAAGTTTCGGAGTTTCAGTGGCAGTGATTTTTCTTTTCGCACGTTGAAACTGCTTGCTTCGCTCCCAACTTTCCTTCTTTCCCTGTCGTATTACAGGTTAAACAATGATTAGGAGTGCTTGGACTGGGAATCGATACACGGATGAGGTGAGGCGTGATTTGCGAGTGACCTAACTGTGGACCACGGATGCTGTTCACACAGTGGTACACCCATTCATATGGCAATTGTACATTGGTTTACAGAAGAACCAAATACTCACTCCAGCCTACTCTGAGATCGGAAAGGCGTTCCGTATTATCCTGCTGAGCAACCATTAGGGAAACGTTTTCACTTGATGGACCAAAAACTCGTAACAGAATTAAATTTATCATTTTCAAAACTTTGTCTTAGTGTGATCCAAATACTTTTGGCTTCCAAAGTAAACTTTACTGGATTTCCATGTCATAATGCATGGTTTCTCACAGACATTTTAAGTGAATTCCATCTGAAGAGGAAGGAAATAAGGATAAGATGTTTGAAAAAAGCTTTTCTTACTCCTCAGTGCCGTGTTAGGTGAGTTGAAACAAGTGGAACTCAACTTCTCCTTAGATTGCTACACCAGGGAATCATTTGTGTTGATAGATGTTGCATAAACGTTGCTTTCTCTGATATTTTTTTCTCATAAAAAGGCATAAAATCAAGGTGGGGAGTATTGCGGTCATTCTCAGGTTTTAGAATTTCGATCCAGAAAAAATGTGACAAGTTTCAAATACAATTAAATATCAAAGAATCTCAGAAGGGATTTGAGTTCCTTCAAGGTAACTGAAGATACGCCTTGCTGACTGGTGAGTGCCAACTATCACCAAACCTAGGTTAAGTATGGCTTCCTACCAATTACCTCCAAATATTTAATATCAATACAATTACGAATTTCTAGTTAGACTTTATGCTTAATTCATTGGGTGAAATATTCTGGATTTAAAGAGCTGGACAAGATTCCAGATAAAACCACTTCTCCATGTGTTTTTTCTCTAGGAATTTGATTAGCTTTAACTTCGATTATGGATCGATATCAGTTAGAGAACCATTGAAAACCACCGATGATTACTAGACAACTATCTTGCTACACTTTTGAACTCACTGGGTTTTCAACACAGGACCTTCCGATGGTCTACAGGCTTGACTTGTAACTGGAAGGTGAGTACTCCTTGGTGTTTAAAGCCACGCTAACTGATAGCAGTCCCTGACAGGACCTGAAACAAATCAAGTCCTTACATACGAACTAGTTCACTTGCTCTTGTGGAACTGAGTACATCGGCCGTACCATGCACCAACTTGAAAAAAGCGCTTGTGAACACTATGCAGCCTGGTTAGTAAAAGGAGACCGAAAGTGTACATACAGCTCAGTGACAGAACATCTGGTCAATTCAGGACATTCAGCGCCTTTCGAAAAATCCTTCAATGTAATTTACAAGATTGAATCAAACCTATCAAAGGGAGTAAAATCAAGACATCTGGGCATAGCCGAGGCGCTAGCTATACAAAAGCTCAAACCCGCGCTTTGTATACAAAAGAAATACGTCCAACCCCTGTCCCTGCCAGGGCCATCATAAACAGGTAATTTTTTTAGTAATGACCATTCCATCGCCTTTCTTATCTAAACTTCCTGTTTATTCATGTTATTTTTTAAGTCTACACTACCATATTTTCATACCCGAACTCCGTGTTTATTTTGTCATTTTACTATTTCTACATATTTAATCCCTGATTGCATAAACAATTACTCATTACACTAGCTTTTATCCAAACATCCTGTCTATTTCTTTATTTCTACATTTCTAACCCCTAATTGCACAACGTCAATCTTCTTAGTTATTATGATGCTACTTTGTTTGTTTTATCCATCCCCCTGTTTATTATGGCATTCTAATTCCTAATTTTAATTTTTATTAATTTGCCCCTTAACCGGAAATTATTCTGGAACTGTCCCATCCATTTGATATAAATACACGAATGTACAGTTTAGACGATGACTTCATCGAAAAGAAAATTGTCTTCGCTGCAATTGTCTTCTTAATAACATACAAACTCTTCGAAATTCCCTCCAGGTTCTCACAATTATAAAATATAATACTTATTATCTTTGCGATAGTTGCCAATTGTGAGGCGCATACATTTGTACGTAGAATAACAGATCGGTCATCGCAGATTGACAAAATAAACAGTGGTATTTGTGTGATAAACATGATGGGCTGAATTCAATTATAAAATACTGTGAAATGCGATACCGTGATGATGGAGATTAGTCATAGCAGATTTATAAAATGTGAGAAAGGAAAACTGACATGTCATTTCAAGGTTATAAAAAGTATCAACTGAAAAGGCTAGTACACAGGTAGTATGCATAAAAGAGGCGATAGTCAGACTACAGCGAATACTGTTCATCATGAAATAATCAGTAGGTGAAATGAAACACTTGGATGCAGACATTGGTAAAAGAGATAAGTAGGAGAGAAGATGAGTCACTTGGGAGAAGTGTGTACAGAAAAAGCACATTCACAGGGCAATACACACACTTCCTTAGTTACGTGCCCATTAAATATAAAAGGAATCTTGTAAAATGTCTCGCGAGCAGAGCAAGGAAGATATGTACGGATGACCTCTTACAAAAGGAATTTGAATATATTCACGATTCCTTGGCGGAGATGGGCTATCCGAGTAGCTTCATAAAGAAACATATGAAACCATCAGAGAAAAAACCTGTGACTCTGACTGCACATAAGAAACCTCTATTTATTAAGTTACAGTTTAATGGTGACTTATCTAGTGAGATTCTATTCCAAAGACTTTCAAGGAGTATACGTAGAACATTTTACGCAGCATACCTATATTTGTCATTCTCTAGCCGATGAATGACTGGGACGCAAACGAAGCATAAGCTTGATAGTTTTGCCACATCTATGTGTATTTATCAATTCAACTGCACCTGCGGTGACAGTTAGGCTGGGCGTACTACTAGACAGCTTAACCAACGTGTTAGTGAACATCTCCCATCGCGGTTTCGTAAGGGACAGACAAAAACAATCCGTAGCTCAATTCTGTCACATTTAATTGAAAGTGGTCATATAGTCGAGAAAACAAAAGCCTTCAAAGTAATTCATCGTATCCCACCGAATCTTTCTAATAGACTTCGTATTCGTCTACTGCACACAGCTGAGGCGATAGGCATTCGAACTATTAAACCTAAACTATGCATTCAAAAAAGTTCGTACAGCCATTATCCCTCCCTTATCGGCCTATTAAGACATAACCAACTAAAGACTTCTACACCATCCCTACTTTTATTTTCAACCCCTTTCTTATCATCTTTATTAAAAATGTGTTTCATTTCCTTCCCTTACGATCTAACATTACGTAATCGGTTCATTTGTTTTTACTAGCCTTTATCGACTACTTCCACCTGAACATTTGTTTGTTTAATCATACTGTTTTTCATTATTCGTGTTATCACAGATTACCTCATTTTTTCATCCTTATTATTGATAAGACCATTATTATTATTACTATTATTAATATTATCATTACAACTATTATGACTAATTGCACAATTTATATTCACCATCGTATTATCCTACAGACAAAACACCATGATTGGTTTATATTGGAATTTTTATTTATAAACTTATATATATTAGAGTTAGCCCTGATGAGATCTAATTGAAACCAACGATATTGTTCGCTTAAATGTGTTGTTCTAAAAGAGATATTATCACTAATATTAAATCGGAAATCTATCGATGGAGAATTCGGGAGAATTGAAAGAATGCTAGAATGAGGGGCATGCATTATAACAGACAATAATTCCTGTAATGATAAATGATACTAAGCAAAGGAAAAGAAAGTCACTTTTGCCTTGTCAGTTTTCCTTTCCCAAATCTGCTATGACTAATCTCCGTCATCATGGTATCGCATTTCACAGTATTTTATAATAGAATTCAGCCCAGCATGTTTATCACACAAATACCACTGTTTATTTTGTCAATCTGCAATAACTAATCTGCTATTCTACATAAAAATGTATCTGTCGCATAAATGGTTACTGATGTGACGGTAACAATTGTTATATTTTATAACTGTAGGAATCTGAAGAGATAAATATATTGAAGGGAATATTTAAAACAATTAGCTCCCTTTATGAATTTAGTTAGACAAAGCAATAAGAAGACGTAATTTGTCTGAATCGTTTAATGTATTTGCGTACAACACATTTCGAATAATCTGATCACATACGGACTTGCCATAGGAATTACTAAAGAGGTAAGAGGTGAGAAAATAGACTACTTAGGTCAAGTTAAAAGGACATATTCAAGGTCAAAATAACAATGAAGACCAGTCACTAAACCAAATAGCAGAGGTAATAGTACATCTACACTGACTGGTATC